ATTTTCAATAACCTCATATGGATGCGAAAGCTGGACAGTGAATAAGGAAGACCGTAGAAGAATTGATGCCTTTGAATTATGGTGTCAGAGGAGAATACCAAAAATGCTATGGACTGCCAAAAGAACCAACATATCTGTTTTGGAAGAAGTACAGCAAGAGTGCTCCTTGGAGGCCAAGATTGCTAAGCTTCATCTCTCATACTTTGGACATATTGTCCGGAGAGAACAGTTGCTGGAGTAGAATGTCATGCTGGGTCAGGTGGAGGGTCAGAGAAGAAGAGGAAGACGCCCAATGAGCTGGATTGGCCAGGTGGCAGCATCGATGGATTCAAGTGTGGCAACAGTAGTGAGAATGGCCCAGGATCAGACATTGTTTCGTTCTCCTGTGCATAGGGTCCTATGAGTCGGTGCCGACTCGATGGCACCTAACAACAACAACATTCAATATTGTGCTGGAAGTTTTAGCCAGAGCTATATGGCAGGTTACAGAAATTAAAGGCATCCAAATTGGCAAAGAGGAAGTAAAACTCTCCTTTTTTGCAGATGACATGATACTGTACATAGAAAACCCAAAGACTCAGTAAAAAATTACTAGACCTCATCCAAAGATTCAGCAAAGTGGCAGAGTATACGATCAACATACAAAAATCAATTGTATTTCTCTATAGCAACAGCAATAGTGATGAAAAGGTCATTAGGAAAGCAATACCATTTACAACAGCCACACAAAGGATGACATATTTAGGAATAAACATAACCACAGAAACAAAGGACTTATGCAAAGAAAATTATAAAGCACTACTACAAGAAACCAAAAGAGACCTACAGAAGTGGAAGAACATACCATGTTCCTAGACAGGAAGACTCAACATCGTGAAAATGTCAATACTGCCCAGAGCGATTTACACATACAATGCAATCCCAATCCAGATTCCAACAACATTCTTCAAAGTGATGGAAAGGACAATTACTAAATTTATATGGAAATGAAACAGACCAGGATAAGCAAAGCACTGCTTAAAAGGAAGAACAAGGTTGGAAGTCTCTCACTCCCCAATTTCAAACTTTACTACATGGCTACGGTGGTCAAAACAGCCTGGTACTGGTATAGTGATCAATGTAACAGAATCGAGAATCCAGAAATTAACCCAACCACATACAGCCAAATGATTTTCGAAAACGTGCTTAGGCACACTGCATGGGTAAGAGATAGTCTATTTAACAAATGGTGCTGGCAGAACTGGAAAGCGATATGTAAAAGACTGAAACAAGACCTTTGCCTCATGGCCTATACAAAAATGAACTCAACATGGATTAAAGATCTAAATGTGAATCCCAAAATTATGAAGATCATCAATGAAAAACATAGGAGCAAATGTCAGTGTGCAAATTCAGGGCATATACAGACTACCACACATTTTGAAAAGTACACAAACAAAAACAGACAAAACAGATGAGTGGGACATACTAAAAATTAAAAACTTATATGCATCAAAATACTTCCCCAAAAGAGTAAAAAGGGGACTCACAGACTGGGAAAAAATCTTTTGCAATGACATATCAGATAAGGGACTCATTTCTAAAATATATAGGAAAATACAACACATCTACAAAAATAAAACAAATAACCCAATTAAGAAATGGGCACAGGACATGAAGAGACTCTTCACCAAGGACGGGATCCAGGCAACCAACAAACATATGAAGAAATGTTCACGATTACTAGCCATTAGAGAGATGCAAATCAAAACAACAATGAGATATCATCTCATACCAGCAATAACAGCGAAGATCAAAAAAGTTGAGAACAATAAATGCTGGTGAGGATGTGGAGATACTGGGACACTCCGGAGATACTGGGACACTCCTGCATTGCTGGTGGGACTGCAAAATGATCCAAACTTTTTGGAAGCAATATGGCGCTTCCTCAGGTTGAAAACAGAAATTCCGTATGATCCAGCAATTCGTCTCCTTGGTTATTTACCCACAAGAAATACTAGCCACAACACTAGTAGATATACGCATACCAATGTTCACAGCAGCACTATTTACAAAAGCAAAAAGATGGAGACAGCATAAGTAAATGCCCATCAACTGAAGAATGGATAAACAAACTGTAGTACATACATACAATGGAATATTATGCTACCTTGAAGAATAACAAGGAAGCTGCAAATCACCACTTAACATGGATGAACCTTGAGGGCATTATGTAGAGTGAAATTAGTCACAAAAGGAGAAATACTGCACAGGACCATTATTGTAAAAGACTAAGAAAAAGAACCAATACTAACGGGGGATGGGGGGAATTCTTTGCTGGTTGCAGGGATATGGGGGGGGTAGGGTGAGGGGAGGGACGGAAAGTTAGAGCACAGGGCAGGGAATAGACACAGGATAGTTTGGGTGCTGGGAAGGGGGGCAAAATACAAAAAGGGAGAGGGGAATGGAAGAACATAGCAGATGGGAGAACAAGTAGGCAGGTTTGCATGGGCTAAGTGGAACAGAGGTAAATAATGATGTATGCACAACCTTGGAAACAACAGGGCTCTGCGGTACAGGGATTGAGACATGGTTGGAATGGGGAAAAAGGGGAGCTCTGGTAGCGTAGTGGTTACGAATCGGGCTGTGAACCTTAAGGTCAGCGGTTCGAAACTACTAGCCGCTCCGCGGGAGAATGATGAGGCTTTCTACTCCCGTAAAGATTTACACCCTCGGAAACCCTATACAGGGTCGCTATGGGTCGGAACCGACTCGATGGTACTTAACAACAACAACAACAATGTTAAGACACTTGGCTGTCTTCTGAATTTTGGTTTTCCTTGCATTGCATTATAAAATAGACACTGGAAGGGGAGAGAAAGGAAAAGCCAGAAATATCACCATAGAAAGCTTGTAAGTCTGTCTTCTGCCTATAACTGATTAGAATACCTAAAATGGGGATTTAACGTGCCCAGTGAAGGAGGTTACCTCCGGAGCCTAGACATTACATAAGACTAGAAGTGGAATCCTGAACAGCATCCAGAATCTTCAGAAGTGGGACATTTTCTCCTGAGAGGACGGACAGACCAGCTGGGAGTGGCTAGCAGAACAGAAGATACAGCTTGAAAGAAAGACTGAAATGAAAAATACAAAACAATAGAGGCAGACTGACTGATTACTATAAGAACAAGCAAGTTGCTCACCCAGGAGACATCAATGCAAGGGGTTGGGTCCTCTCAGAGTAAACTCCCCTCCAAGACTAAGACTCAGTGGGAATACACGCTCTGATTTGTGACCACGTTAGCCACCGACAAGGGGAAGTGAGGGCAAAACAATTAAGCCCTACAACGTTCCAATAGACTACTGTGAACCCAGGTGGAGACAGAACATGGGAACACTGAATGGTATAAAATTAAGAAAGGTGTAAGACAAGGTTGTATTCTTTCACCATACTTATTCAACCTGTATGCTGAGCAAATCATGCAAGAAGCTGGGTTATATGAAGACATATGTGGGATCAGGATTGGAGGAAGACTCATTAACTACCTGCAATATACAGATGATATAACCTTGCTTGCTGAAAGTGAAGAGGACGTAAAATATTTACTGATGAACATCAAAGAGCACAGTCTTCGATATGCATTGCATCTCAATGTAAAGAAAACAAAAATCCTCACCACTGGACCAATAAACAACATTCTTATCATTGGAGAAAAGATTGAAGTTGTCCAGGACTTCACTCTTGGATCAACTATCAACACTCACGGAAGCAGCAGTCAAATCAAACAACGTATTGCATTAGGCAAATCTGCTGCACAGACCTTTTTTTAAAGTGTTGAAGAGCAAAGATGTCAGCTTGAGGACTAAGTTGTGCCTGACCCAAGCCATAGTATTTTCAATAACCTCATATGCATGTGAAAGCGGACAGTGAATAAGGAAGACCACAGAAGAATTGATGCTTTTTTGAGTTATGGTGTTGGAGGGAAATATTGAAAGTGCCATGGGCTGCCAAAAGAACCAATAGATCTGTTTTGGCGAAGTGCAGCCAGAGTGCTCCTTGGAGGCCAGGATGGCTAAACTTTGACTCTCATACTTTGGATATCTTTTCAGGAGGGACCAGTCGCTGGAAAAGGATATCATGTTTGGTAAGGTGGAAGGTCAGAGAAAAAGAGGAAGACTTCCAATGAGATGGATGGGCCAAGTGGCAGCATCAGTGGAATCAAGTGTGGCAAAAGTAGTGAAGTTGGCCCATGATCAGTCAGTGTTTCATTCTGCTGTGCATAAGGTCGCTATGAGTTGGCACCTAACAACAACTCTCTCTGAAGGCAGATTATGTTTCAAAAGGAAGAAAGGAAGACCCCAGTTAAGTTTCCTCCATTTATGCTTCACAAATTTACAAAGCAGGTAAGTTGTTCCACTTGTCTGAAGCAGAGAAAGGAAAACTATGGACAGAATCTAGGCGATGTACTGATTAAAGGAAACATTAGGAATAAGGGGTAAAAAAACCTCAATTCAGACAACCCACACAATTATTAATTTACCCAGTTACTTCATGTCAGTAAAATATAATTAGTATAAAGAATCTACTAAATGGCATTTTATGAAGTACAATACACAGCACAGTGTTTTAAATTTTGAGGAGTACCTCATGACGCTTTAGATCTGTTTTCATTTTATATTTTCTCCAAGTTGTTTGTATAAGTCGAGCAGCTCTTATTTCTTTACGAAGATCCAAAAGTCTTGCACAAAGAAATGACAAATAGGTAATAACCACCTAATAGAAAACACAAAAGATAAAAACAGAAAAGCAAGAGGGAACACAAGTGACGGTAATATTATCTTCTGAGATACCATTAGTTAAAAAAATCTCCTTTACTTACTTTTTCATCTGGAATTGTATTTGACATGTCTGAGTGATGAATCATGGCAGGTATTCCACCAAGGTCTCTCACTGCAGAGTTAATCAAATGAAAATTTTTCTTTTCATTTTCTAAGAGCTCTTTGTATAGTTCAGAAGTATTTTCTACTATGCAAGTGAAAAAGAGACAAATCAGACGGCTCTAGTCAAAAATCACACACAGCAAAGGAAATTTTTGCAAAGTCAATCAACAAAAAGAGAAAAGGGACGAACCGTGATCAAATGCTTTAGGAGACATATCCAGAAAACTAGAATCAGACTCAGATGATGAATTTAACACTACTGAACCAGTCTGTGTGCATTCCACAGTTTGAGTCGTTCGTTGACATATAGCCTCAAAAGGCACATAGCAAGGGTGGTAGTGGTAGATCAAGTAGCATAACACACGGCCATCTGAGAAAGACACTGTAAAATTCTCAACCTAATTTGTAAAGCAAAAGAAATAATTAACTACATTTAGATACCAATTTAGATGCTAGTGGTTTTATAGTCCAGCATTTGTTTGTTTTATAGCTAAGAAAATCACATTATTTTCTAACAATATATAGTATATTACAATATTCATAGCCAAATTCACAATTGTAAAATAGTAACCATTCCAAAAGTGTGTAATCTGAGTAAAATACCTTCTCTGACTGTTTAGGTAAAACATTGATTATCCAGATTATTTGACAATTTTTCTACTAGCAATACTTGTTCAAAGTAGAATCATTTATTATATTTAGTAAAATGTACTCCCTTTCATTGTCCTTTTTAATATTCCTTACCAGACATTTCATCCATGTATATCAGGGAAATATTTTTGAGCATTTACATTTAAAGCTCATCTCATGCGGAAGTACCTAACAAATGACGATGGAAAAATCACCTTACATGTAAGTTTTGTCTCCTTCCTCTACCTAGAGGTAAGTTTGTTTCTGTTGCCCTGTTCTGGGTTGGTGGGTTTATACGCATTCACCTTTAGAATAAAGATATGATCCTTTGGGTTCCCTGATATACACAAGTGTCTCCTATTAGACTATTAGACCTATCTTGGTCACACTTTCTTTCTTATTGTTGTTGTTGTTAAGTGATCTTGTGTCAGTTCCCACTCAGCAATCCTGTATAGTGTTTCCAATGAGCATCTGGTAAATTCAAACCACCAAACTGCAGTTCAAAACAACTTTGTGATCCAGTGCTTATCCTACTTAGTGATACATAAAATTATAGTGCCTCAGACAACTGATAACATCGTAAGTCAGATGAAATACACTAACTCATTTGAGGAAAAGTTTGTTTATACAGAAAAACTAAAACCATTTAATTAATACATGAAAATGTTCTGCATATTAAGTTTAACTAGTTTTACCCAAAATTTATTTAAAGATGTAGGGTAAAACAAAGACAAAGCAACTTACTTTCTTATTATAAAAGGCGCACACAGCATTTACCCAGTCCATTAACAGTCTTATGCTTTCACTGTACTGGTCAAAGGGGCCACTCCTTCTCTTCTCGTTTTTCTTATTAATGACAGTATCAGAATGACATGATAGTGTAGACATTGCTTTCTTTAATTTCTGTGTATGTCTTAAAAAGCCAATTTCTTCCTTTAATTGATCTAAATTAAGGGATATATCCACCTGAAACACAAAAAAAGGAAAACACCATCTCTTTAATTCACAGAAATTAAAATAACTCTTCTATTTAGATAAGGTGTAGAAGTTAATATAACCCAATCAGGAGTTTTAAAGAGCTAGAATAAACAAAGTTCCCAAAATGTATATGCAGTTTAGCATCAGAAATTCAAACTTTTAAAAGGCAAAAACAGTCTACATCAAAGTGATGGGATATATAGTAGTTAGAAACATTAAATTTGGGGCAACACAAGCCTTGTCCCTCTCAGTTTCACTTCTTATCCACAACATAACTAACCCTACGCTTGTTCCCTACTTCGTAGGGGTGATATGAACATTAGAATAAACCCCAATAAGTGACAGCTATTATTTTAGTCTTTGATTCAATTAGTTTTTGTAAATTAGTATTCAAAATTGTTAACAAGTTAAAAATGTACCAAAAGTGTGATACCTGAAAAGCAAATGCTATTTTCCAAAGCAATGCAAGAGTTTTTTCTCTGTGCCTATCCACGATATCCTTAGATAAGATTTTTTTTCCTACAAATGAGAAGGCAGTCCATTAAGATGATACACACATATCAATAGCCAGTGAGAAGAAAGGTTTTAGCTCTACTCATTTCTTACCTTGTTCATCAGTTAGTTGAATTCCTCGTGATTGCAGAATTTCAAAAACAATGTCAACATTGTGAATCTTTTGAAGACGGCTTATTGCAGGAATCCTGAGTTTCTTTGAGAGATTCCAGTTTTGTGTGAGAAGTTCCATGGTTCTCCTAGCAGTAAAGGAATTTTGAAATGAAAATGCTACTATGAAAAATAAACTTTACTTAAATATAGTTACCAGCCAAATAAATCTATAGTGGGCATTCAGGTCAAAACACTCCTAAAAATGATCTCAATACTGTATTTTAAAGTGACGAATATATACATTTTACTTTCTTTATTTTGGCAGACTGAGCAATACCCTAGTGCATTAGTTTCCTTGCACTATGCCCATTATATGCATGTGTGTGTTATTTGTGTGGATGTGGCATATGAGAAAATATGGTACAGTCGTTCCATAATTAGTAGATAAGATTTATTTCTCATTTAAAGTCTAGGATTGGAAGGTCTTTGAACATATAATAAAGAAAAAATGGAAGATTTATACACAAACATACATGTGAACAAAAACAAAGGATCTAGATAGGAAGAAAAATAAAGGTAGTGAAGAAGGAAGAAAGGGAAATGGAAAATGTTACTTACTGAAGGGGTACTGTATTATACACATCAACGACAGCACTTAACAACAACATAGAGATATTAGTTTAGCTAAAAACAGATATATACACCACAGTTTCAATTGAAATCCCTAATATTTAAGGCATAGGAGCTCTGGTAGCGTAGTGGTTACAAATCGGGCTTCGAACCTTAAGGTCAGCGGTTCGAAACTACCAGCTGCTCCGCGGGAGAAAGATGAGGCTTTCTACTCCCGTAAAGATTTACACCCTCGGAAACCCTATACAGGGTCGCTATGGGTCGGAACCGACTCGATGGCACATAACAACAACAACAATTAAGGCACTAGTGTGTTTTCTCCTCTAGACAATAAATGCTATCATCACAAAAAAAAATAAAGAGAGGCCCCACCCAATTACTGAATACAGTGAAAACCTTTCAAACTTTTAATGAACTAATTTCTTAAGGTTACAAAGCTACCAAGATTAATCTAAGCCAATCACCCAATTAATATATGAAGTATTTCTGCAACAGTAAACTAGGCCCATTTGACCCATGGCATTAGTGAATCCATATGTGCTGTCAAATGATTTCAGAGACCAAAGAAACAGTCATTTTACTTACATTATACAGAATAGAAAAATGGTATGCAAGATTGAGTCTCTTAAATAGTGAATGTTCCTAACCAAATATAAAGCATCAATATACAATTTACTAAAAACTCTTATAAAAGCTTAAGAAAAGCTGCACTGATTATAAAACCTATTACTGCCACTCTTGGAAAGTGGTAAAGGTCTATGCTGTCTTGAATTTATTTGATATGGTTTTTCTAACCAAAGTCTTCTTAATTCCCACCAAGTGACTGGTTGTTGTTGCTGTTGTTAGGTGCCATCAAGTCAGTACCGACTCATAGCGACCTTATGCATCGAGAAAAAACTCTGTCCGATCTTGGGCAACCTCATTACTGTTGCCACACTTGAGTCTATCGAAGCAGCCACTTGGCCAATCCATCTTGCTGAGGATCTTCCTCTTTTTCTCTGACCCTCCACCTTATCAAACATGATATCCTTCTCCAGCGACTGGTCCCTCCTGACAATATGTCTGAAGTATGAGAGATGAAATCTGTCCATCTTGGATTCCAAGTGATTGGTTGGGACCATGCAAATATAACATACAGTTTTCTATAGCTGGGATTGGTTAGTTATGCCCTACAGCTAGGTAAACAGAAGACCTCTCAGAAGCAGAGACGAAGATTCCAGGGCCATCAAGAAGGAAGAGCATGAGTGGAGCATGCTATGGCAAGAGGTGACATGGAGAGACAAAGCAGCTTCCGGCTCTAGGCCTATGGACTGAGTACCTAAGGGCAGGAGACTGGCTTGAGGAACTTTGGGCATGCACAGACTAGCTAAAAAAATTTTGTAACAGGAACACCTTTTGTCTCCAATATTGCAGGGACTACTCACTATTGTTTTTAGTCTCTCAGCCTACAATATTGCAGACAAGAGGTGTTTCTGCCTTAAGAACTTGTTGCACCCTGCGATTTTTTGATCCTGAATTGGTACCTGTTCGCTTCCCTAATAAAGCACATAATTGTGAGTATTGTTATGAGTTCTGTGTGGCCACTGCATTTGATTATTGAACCCAGGTGTGAAGCAGAGAGTGCTGTGTGGGATGGTTGGTGTCAGAAGAGGATAAACAAAAAATTAAGTGTATTCCAAGTCACTTCATGACAAACTTTACTTTGAAATTGAGCATGTCTATAATATCCTTGCTATACCACAAGTATTTTAAGATCTGAATATATATCCAATTAGAAAAAAATACTGAGGATATATTCTATGAAAGCTATTATCTCTTTGCATCCTATATTTCAAAGCTTAATTTGCTGTTTTGAGGCTAAACATTTGTGAAATACATTCAAAAACACTTTATTTAAAGAAATCTCTTTCCTTGACTCCAAAAATGCTTCCTTGATAAAGATGTAACATGTATTCGTAACACTAAAGTTACTAATTCAGATATTGTAAAAAGTCCAACCTTAGTACTATGCCAAAGGTCATTTGTTCCAGTGGAAGAATTGGTAACTCACTGAATTCATTCCAAAGTCATTGTTAAAGTTTCCACTTTGTTATGGAGGGAATATTGTGTAATCTGATGGTAAGCATACTGAGCTGGTGTTCTACTTTATGACACTTGGCACAAGCTATTCAATCTTTTCTTAATTTCCTTCATGCTAAAATAGAATAATGCTATTAAAATCAATCTGAAATGATACAGTACTCATGAAACCACTGTGGTGGTGGTATTTAATGCTTTCAGGTAAATTATGAGACCATCGTAGACATAGTATAATTTAGTATTTTATGTTTTAATTAAATCCCCACTTTCCCTAACTCTTGTACTGTGACATCAGTGGTTCCTACCTATGGGTCCTAATCACATGCCATTAAGGACAGAACACAGGGTTTCAAGCCCTAAAACTATCATAACATTTTGCTGAACATGTTGACAATAAACTCAAAATTGTAACCCTCAATTTATTTCAGTAGGAGAAGGAACAAACAAAACCTGTAAAAGTACACCAAAAAGTATTTCCTGAAAATTTGTCTACTCATTAAACAAAATAATTCTATTTCGCATACTTACACAAGACGCACCCCACACTGTAAGTCTACAGCAAGATTTGTAACAGCAAAATCAAATTCATCAAATGGTGTCTGAACATGGCTAACAGGTAATCCCAAAAAGCTAAGATGCCGACAAAGGTCACCTTCGCCACTTAGGAAGTCTCGAGAAAAAGCCAAAAGAATTTCTTTACTGGCCTAGAAAAACAAATTGAAGGTATTATATACCAATGTAATATGTTGTCTATAGTAAAACAAAATCCTTCGAGTTATTCTGTCTATATAGGAAAAAAATAGTATTAAAAAAAATATTACAGATTTCATATCACATGACATCAATGCAGATTTCATGTATTTCCAATTCAGCCTTCTTAAAAAATGCTCAAAATTAATACAATGTTCTGAAAAGTAGTATAAGTTTGATGATATATGACATCAAATCTAGGAAAGAAATTTCCCAAGGATTAATTCCTCAAAAGCATATTTTGGCTCATTTTCAAATTGAAATTAAGAGTAAGGACAATATACACTGGTGAACTGTAAACTCACAAAACTCAGACACAGTTAGAGTCACTGATCAGAATCACTAGGTAGACATTCTGATGATGCTCCAGAGTACTGTTCATTGGTGATGGTGGAGGTGATGTGCCATAGAGTTGCTTCCTACTCAGTGTTTCTGAGGCTGTAAATCTTTATGGTAGCAAAAAGCCTCATCTTTCTCCATTACAGGCTGGTAGATTTGAATTACTAAACTGCTGACTTTGCAGTTAGCATATGAATGCATTAACCACTATACTAGCAGGGCTCCTTTACTGTTCTTTAGGCACATCATTTTTTCTAAAGATAGCAACAATGGACTCAAACAGAAGAATAATTGTGAAGATGGCACAGACCTGGGCAGTGTTTCATTCTGTTGTGCATAGGAGCGCTATGAGTCGGAACTGACTCAATGGCACCTATAACAACAACAAGGGCAAACTATACAATAAAAGAATGCAACAGTCTTAAATGTGAAATATGAAAGATGAGAACTATACCTTGAATTCAGCATCTTTACAGAAGAGGCAAGGATCATGATCAATAAGTCTGGAGATTTTAGCATAATCAAGAAAATAGACCAACAACAATAATTTTTTCAATGTAAACTTAGACAAAGCTTCTTCAAGACCTTAAATAAAGTACAAAAAAGCATGCAACTTAATCTGTGAAAGACAAGTTTCACCTTCAAATATCAATAATTGTGCACATACAATATAAAATATATGACTTCAAACATAAATAAAACTATGTGCTTGCTCTTAATGTTTAACGCACATTAATCCATTTTATCCTCACAATAACACTATGGGGTAAATACCATTAAGATTTCCATTACAAGAGTAAATAGAGGCAAGAGAGAACATTAGATCTAGCTGGTCTAGCTAATAAACATTTAATGAGCATCTGCTATAGCGCTGTAGGCTAATATGCTGGACTGCAAAGTTGTTTGTACCACAAGGTTGGTAGTTCAAGCTCACCTAATGGAGAGTGGGGAGAGGCAAAAGACAATACAATGTTATAAAAAATTACAAATAGAGATGAAATAAATGATGGAGGGAAATGGAGTTAAAGACAAGGTAAGTAATAGAAAGAAAACCATTTCCATAGATTTTTCTGAGAAGGCAAAATTTACATTAATAAGAAAAAGATAAGAAGAAACCATTTATTTATAGTATATCGAAAATATTGTGAAGGCAAAAATATTTACCATCTCTGTATAGATGTGGAACAGTGGGATGCTTATATTCAGCTGCTATATCAGGATTCCAAAGCAAGCGATTCAAAATAAACACAGCCAACCCCATGACATCACTATTGTCTTCCAAAGATATGAGTTCTCCAAAAACTGTCTGAAAAGAAATTACAGCAAAAATGAAGACTACACTATTTTAACTAAGAAGCAGAGGGATGTGTTTGGGATAGGCAGTTTTCTATTTCCTAAATAGTATGGGGGTGATGTTGACACTGCTTAATGAAGTCTTTAAACTGTACATCCACACTTTATGAATCCTTCAGTGAATACAGTATATTTCACAATGAAAACCTCAAAAGCTCAGGACTAATGCAAATTCTTAAAAATCATCAGACAATATCTACTTCCAAATTTATTAGCTTTAAGTTAAAGAATTATCAAATGCAAGCATATTCTTTTAATTTAATTATAACTGTTCAATTAAGCATATCATGAAGGTAAAACAAAAACCTAAACATTCAGTTTTATACTAATTACCAAGTAGAAAATTATCTACAAATAATCTAAGATAATAATTTGCCAAGTTCAGAGGTTTAAAACCAATTTAAATATGAAATTAGCTTATTATCAGTAAATTTATTTTGAATACTTTTTAAAACAATTAGGAAAAAATACAATCATTAAGCTGTGCTATAACTTTATAGTGAGAAAATATAGAGATGAAGGCTTGGGAAAATAAAATACTTGGCAAAATAGAGAAATTTTATATTATTTTTTTGTTCTTTGTTTAAAAAAAAAAAAAATCTCCGGCAGAGTAATGGTGACAGATCAGGCTGCTAATCTCACAGTTACCAACCGTCCTGCAGGAGAATGAGACTTTCTGCTCCCATAAAGATTTACAGCCTCGAAAACCCTATACAGGGTTGCTATGAGTCAGAATTGACTCCACAGCACATAACCATCACCCACTGTACTAAAGGACTCCTGGTGTGGTGCTGCAGTATAAGCTCTAGACTGAGAAACACAAGGTCAGCAGTTCAAACCTACCAGCTGCTCCTCAGAAAGTCTATACAGGGTTGCTATCACTTGGAACCACCTTGACAACACATTATGACAACAAACATCTTACTAAAAGTACATTTAAAAATTATTTTGTTTTAAAAATGAAAATGTTTACCTCTAAGCCAATTCGTAGCCACAAAGGATTATATGATAAAAGCCAATTTAGTACTTTCTGTCGTTCACCTGAAACATGTAAAAAGTAAGTTCAGATCACTCATCAAATAGAAACAATAAATAATACTGTCTGGAGAAAAGTCAGTAGATAAAATGTACATCTTTTTTATTATTATTATTGTGAATCTGGTGATGATCCAGAGCAAATCATCAGTTTTATATTCAACAGTCCATAGGCATTTTCTTTCATTTCACTAATTGTAATCCCTTCCCAGGAGTCCTGGTGTGGTGCTGTAGGATAAGCACTGGACTGCTAAATGTGCAAACAGCATTGTCTAGTGGAGAAAGCACTAGTTACTTAGATATTAGGGATTTCAATTTGAACCATGGTGTATATATCTTTTTTCAGATAGACTATTATCTCTAGAGTAATCTGGTCTAAGAAATTGGCTTTGGAAACTGTTAAAATTGAGTTTTAAGTCTTATTTCTAACATTAGCTATTGATCATGAGGGATTTACTGAGCATCTCTGGGTCTTGGTTTCATCATTTGTAAAAACAAGTAAATGATAGCCGATTGATGAGCTTCACTGTGAGGACTAAAATATAGAAAGTACTTGCTTGATGTGTGCAATACAGTGCCCCCTCAATAAATAACATTTTCTTTTCCCCAGTCTTCCTTATTTCCTATACAGGGTCGCAATGAGTTGGCACCCACTCCACAACACAGAACAACAACAACAATCCCCTCAATGTAACATCCCTTAGCCCATTTCTTCTTCCCTGTGTCTCCTGTTTCCATTTCTCCTTCTTTCCCAGCCCTTCTGAACTCTGTCCTTGGGTAAATGCTACCCTTTTGATCTCAAATGCTATTTTACACTAATGTTATCATATACTAATACTTTAAAACACATACGGTCATATTTAGGTGAGATTGTAGACAGTAAAGCCACAAAGTATTCACATACGAGGGAGATTCTAAAACTTCTAAAAATTCATGGAATTAAAAGATAACGGAATTTTTCCATCAACTTTTTGAAGTCCCTTACATATAGTTCAGTCTGAAATGTAAACTCTTAAAGTGTTTTCAAAGAACCAATCTCAGATTGTCTGCAGTGTTCTTACCCACATCCTTCCAGAGATGTCTATCTTTGCGAACAATCAACCGTCTAGCTTCAATTTCAATTTCCAGGTTTTTAATAGCTTTAACCAGCTTTTCAGAAGTAAATAAACAGCAGGCTGTACGACGTAATCTATTCAATCTGCATCGAATAGTGTAAGCTCTGAGAGATACTTCATCTTTTGTAGGTGCTCTAGGAACACTTGGTTTATGTTGACTCTCCATTCCCAACAGTAGAGTAGTAGCATTTACTGGGTAAAAGCAAAAGGAAGGATGTTTCTTGTTAAATAGTATATATAACCTTTAATTCAGCAATAAAATGCAGCTTTAGATGTCCCAGAGCAGAATCTATTCCCTGCCCCTTCCAAACATGCTCTTCTCTTGTCTTTCTTATCTTAAAATAAAAGGGTCGCCACTTGCTAAGTCCATATCCTTTCATCCTATAAGCTCTACCTGCAAAATGGTCTGATGACTTCTCACCACCTTCACTATTATTCAAGTTCCAATACTATTATATGTAACACACATTGAAATAACCTCCTAAACTGGTACTATACTCCTGTCCCTTTTACAAATTAGTAAAATTATAAGCTTCTAAAGAGAAGCAAATTTTTAAAAAATCAATAATTTTGAGATGTATTCTTAATTTTTATTAAACATATTTTCTCTTAAGAAGACAACTAAAATTGGACTTGGTTTCCTTTTTAAAGAAAGAAAGTAATCTTAGAGGTCATGTAATCCAAAGACCCTCTGGATGTAGAAAACACATACGAGACTTCTCTGACAATTACAAACCAATTTTTGCAACAATAGGAATCTCACCATCTTATGTGATGGCTGACAATTTGAAAGTTTATAAGGATTTCTTCTATTTAAAATTGAAGTTGATCCCTGTACCTTCTATGTGAGAAATGCACAAAAGTAAGTTTCCTTCTCTTTTAAGAGAAAATCTTTCAGATTTGAAAGCCACTCACTATCTTACACCCTTGTCCAATACCCAAGTCTTTTCTTTTCCAGAAAGAACACAAATGTTTCAAACAACCCAACCACAACCTGATTTCAGGTCCCTACAGCTTGCCTTCATATCAAGCCACAAAAGACTGCTAGGTTTGTTTATTCATTAGGACATTATACTTTATTCATGGAGCTAAGACTAAATGAATTTCTTAGTTCAATATTAACTGTGACTCAGTATATGGTAAAATAGAGCCCATATATACTTGAAAGGATGGAAACTACATTGGCTAATGAGAGAATGAAAAACAAAAAAGTGAATTTTAATGTTTTAAGTACAAAATTCATTAAAAATCTTAATAATTCCACCTCTAACATTCATGTCAATCAATTAGTAAAGCATATCATCAACGAGATATAATGATAATAGGCATAATTAAGGAATGAGTGTATTAAAAATTCTGTTTAAATAGGATATTATTATTTAAAATACATATATTTACCTTTAGAAACATTTGTTTTTACAGTGAAGTCATCAGGAGTTAATATAAAATTAAGCCACCAAGTGAAGCCCAGTTCCTGCTTTTCCTTCCAACGTTCATCATAAAACATGTTTTTTGCAGCAAATGGCATTGGGTGTCTAGGAATATCTAAGAATACAATCAGGTTACTGCACAAAATAATGTCCTTTAGGTTACTATAAAATATATAGCAAATGACCATTTTGCTAACAAAACCCCTCTAATTATTTAAAAATTCTGTCATCATGAGTTCATTTCATGAAACGCTGAGCGAACATTCAAGTACAATTAGAAAACATACTTGCCTGTTTTTAATGCTTTTATAAAGGTCAAACTGGACTGCGCCACAGGAACAAAAGATTTAGTCCTCATGCTTACTTTAGAAACAGGAGTTCTCTGTAGCAATAAATCTAAAATGCATCACAAAGAAGAAGGAATAGTATTAAAACAATAAATTCTCCAAACATGAGGGAGCTTAAAATAATCTTTGGAAATTTTTCATTATTTTTTTTTTGAAGCCCCTCATAATTAATTGATGGATTGTTTTAAAATTAAAGTTTGGGTTCTTCAGTCATATTCAGTTAGAAAATTCTGAGTAGCTATGAAGTACCAGGCACAATACTACGAACTCAGTGATTAATGAATCCAACATCTGAAAGTGATAGACATAAACTGCAAGTTATCTGGTGTCTATATAAGCTATTGTCCATCTTCAATCAATTTATTGTGTGCATACATACCACACTATGAGCTAAGTGCTGAGGATGCAGACATGAAAAACACATGGTCCCAATCTTTAGGATGTTTTCAGTCTAATGTGGAAGATGTTTTAAAAGAATTATAATACACAGCAAAAGGGAGAGGTTATATGAGGAGGCTTCCAAATATTTGTGGTAAATTCCATTATCTTTTCATTCCATTTTTTCATGAACTTTTGGTAACCCCCTTGCATAAGGAGCTATAAGAACACAGAGAAGGGAACACTAACTCCTTCTAAAATGATAGGACCATCTTCCTAGAGGTGAATGTATTTGGGTTGACTCTTGAAGTGAGAGGTACACATGAAAAACCACGGTCTGCTGACAAAAATGCCAAGAAGTCTAAATCAAATACATGTGAGAAAAGCAGTACAAGAAATTGAGAGTAGTCGTCAAGAAGTGAATATTAAAAATAAAAGTGGCAACTAATACTTGAATTGTAGTAGGAGCAGGATATCTGGGATTTAGTGTCAAGCACTACTGAAGTATTTTGTTTTTTATATATAGACTGCTTCATTATATAATTAGGATACTGGACTTAACACAATTAATGTACTTGCTCAAGGTCACACAAGGAGCTCTGGTTAACATAGTGGTTACGAATCGGGCTGCGAACCTTAAGGTCAGCGGTTCGAAACTACCAGCTGCTCCGTGGGAGAAAGATGAGGCTTTCTACTCCCGTAAAGATTTACACCCTCGGAAACCCTATACAGGGTCGCTATGGGTCGGAACCGACTCGATGGCACATAACAACAACAACAAGGTCACACAAGCTATTAAGTTGTAGAGCTGGAATTCAAACTTGGCAGTATAGTACCAGAGCCTACATTATCAATCAATTTGGAACATCTTGTATGTTGTGAAGGATTTTATTCCAGGAAATAACATGCTCCGCTATCTGTCAAAAACAATATGAGCCTTAAGACTAGAAGCAGAAACAGGGAAGTTACTACAGTAGTCTAAGTCAGATATAATGAAAACTTAAATTTTAAGGGGTAGTGGAGACAATCAACAAGTCTTATGAATCAGCTGACTAGGTATGTGATGGAGAATGACATCTCCAGGATGAGTCCCAGATATCTACCCCAGGTGATGAGAGAGATGGTAAGTGGTACCTACAAAGGAAAAGGCAACACAAGTCACAATAACCCATCAGAACAGCAGCTCAGCTTTCTCAAAATAAGGTTCCGTACCAGTTTACAAAACATGAAAAAAAGGACTAAAAGCACCCCATAGATATTTTAAGAGTAGAAATAGCAAACTGTTTATTTGGCAAATTCCAGAATGGTGTCTATATTTTGGTATGGCCCACAAGCTATGAAGAGTTATTTATTTGTAAATAGTTGAGAAATCAAAAGTAGAATATTTCATGGCATTTCAAAATATAAAATTCAGTGTCCATAAATAAAATTTTATCCAAAACAGTCACAAGTATGCACTATATGTTAAGTACTGGACTGCAGGGTTGTTTTCAACTACAATATCAGCAGTTCAAACTCACCAGCTGCTCTTAGGTAATGAACTCGATGGTACTTAACGAAGGTTCTTTTCATGACAGGATGACAGAACTGAGTAGCTGTGACAGAGACTAAATACCCTGCAAACCACTGTTAAGAACTTTGATTTTCAGTGAAATAGAAAACCACCAGGAAGGTTTGGAACTAAAATTGATAGAATCCTGCTAACAATTCTATATAGAAAGCAGACTACAAAGAAGGTAAACAAAGAGTGAACACAAGATGTTAGCAAGCCCTATACGACATAAACTGGCTTAGGATGGTACCACTGGTAGTGGTGAAAAGTGATCAGATTCTGAGTACTTTGAAGGTACAGAAGATAAGAGTTTTTGATCGATAAGGTCAAAGCCAAATGGCCACCACTCATCTGTCTGTTGTACTGTGGTGGCTTGTGAGTTGCTGATTCTGAGGGCTATGCCACCAGTATTTTAAATAACCAGCAGTGTCACCCATGGTGGACAGGTTTCAGATGAGCTTCCAAACAAAGACAGACTAGGAAGAAAGAGTGACAAACTACTTCTGAATCTTTTTAGTCACTGAAAACCTTATGAACGAATAGCAGAAAAACACTGTCCGATACAGTGCTGGCAAATGAGCCCCTCAGTTTGGAAGGCATTCAAAATGTGACTGGGGAAGAGATGCCTCCTCAAAGTAGAGTTGACCATGATGACATGAATGGAGTTAAGCTCGTGGAAGAAAAGAACACAGAACCTTCATTTGCTCATAGGGCACAAATCAAAATGAAGACAAACAGCTGTAAACATCCACTGAAAATCGGAACATGGAATATATGAACTATGAATCTGGGAAAATTGGAAGTTGTCAAAAATGAAATGGAATGGATAAACATCGATATCTTAGGCATTAGTGAGCTGAAATGGACTAGTATTGGCCATTCTGAATCCACCAACCACATGGTTTGCTATGCCAGGAATGACCAACTGAAAAGGAATGGTGTTGCATGCATCGTCAAAAAGAACATATCCAATGATACAGTGCTAAGTTGATTTGTCAAGAAACTCTCAAATTGTACTCTGAAAAGCTGGGATGGAGTTATCAGTGCCCCCACCACAGATGTATATCGAAAAAACTTTGGCCATTATCAAGCCAGATATTGTTGACAAAGAGGAGGAGATACAAGATATTATTCTCAGATCCGGATTCACCATTGTTCAGAGAAGAAAACTACATCTCAGCCCTGAACACTGTAGTAACTTTTATGTGGAACAGTATGGGAAAATGTTTTTTCCCAATTTAACAGCTTACTTGAGTTCTGGACCAATTGTTACCATGATACTAGCTAGAGATAAAGCCATCTCTTACCGGAATGAACTTTTGGGACCAAGTAATAGCTTAGTAGCTAAGGAAACACATCCAGACAGTCTAAGAGCAATTTATGGTACACATGATCTAAGGAATACATTTCATGGGAGTAATAACTTTGCTGCAGCAGAAAGAGAAATTCAATTCATGTTTCCTGAAGTGATACTTGAGCCAATTCCAGTTGGACAATCTGCTAAGGATTATTTAAATTTATGTGTAATGCCTAATCTGCTTGAAGGACTCACAGAGCTTTGTAAGTGAAAACCAGCAGATCCTTTCACTTGGTTAGCTGATTGGCTGCTGGAAAATAATCCTAACAAAACAAAACTCTGTCATCATACAACTACATTAGTACCTTATTAAGATAAAGTCCTCCAAAGAACGAATCACAAGCGATTTGATTATCAAAGGATATGCTTCTATTTTAAAAAAACTTAAGTCCTAATTCTTAAGTATTTAAGTAGTTATATGTTAAATAAGTTATTTTTGAAAATAAAGTTTTTAAAGAATCAAAAATAAATAAATAAATAAATAAATAACATATCCAGATCAGTCATAAGGTACAACACTATATGTGATAGGATAATATCCATGTGCCCACAGGGAAGCCTAGTTAATACAACTATTATTCAAATTTACGCACCAACCACTAGGAAGAATTATTATGCACCAACCACTAGGAAGAATTCTACCAATGTCTTCAATCTCAAATGGATCAAACATGTAATCAAGATATATTGCTCATTACTGGTGATTGGAATGCAAAGGTTGGGAGCAAAGAGGAAGGACCAGCAGTTGGAAAATATGCCCTTGATGATACAAATGATGCTGGAGAAGGCATGATAGAATTCTGAAAAACCAATGATTTGTTCATTTCAAATATCTTTTTTAGACAGCATAACAGACGACTATACACATGGACCTCGCCAGATGGAATACGTAGAAATCAAAATGACTACATCTGTGGAAAGAAAAGACGGAAAAGCTCCATATCATCAGTCAAAACAAGGCCAGGGGCAGAGACTGTGGAACAGACCATCAATTACTTATATGCAAATTCAAACTGAAGCTGAAGAAAATGAAAACAAGTCCACGAGAGCCAAAATATGACCTTGAACATATCCCATATGAATTTAGAGATCATCTGAAGAACAGGTTTGATATATTAAACACTAAAAGACCGACGACGAGAAGAGTTGTGGGTTGACATCAAGAACATCATACATAAAGAAAGCAAAAAGTCATTAAGAAGACAAGAAAGAAGGGAAAGGTCAAAATGGATGTCAGAAGAGACTTTGAAACTTGCTCTCCAGCATAGAGATGCCAAACCAAATGAAAGAAATGAGGAGGTACAAGAGCTGAATAGAAAGTTTCAAAGATCAGCTCCAGAAGATAAGACCAAATATTATAATCAAATGTGCAAAGATCTGGAATCAGAAAAACAAAAAGGAAGAACATGCTCAGCTTCCTCAAGCTGGGGGAACTGAAGAAAAAATTCAAGCCTCGACTTTCATTATTGAAAGATTCTCTGGGCAAATTATTAAATGATGCAGAAAGCATCAA